AGATTTTAACAACAAATATAAGATTTGTTTACATTCCTAGGGGTTCCGTACCAATGTTTATATGTTACACGGCGACGCAGCGCTTACGCGCTTCGATATTTCGTCTCTATGCAATTAAAACAGTACGATTGCTTTGAAAATCAGTTCAAAACTTCCAAAATATTTCAAAATAAAGTATAAATTTTTTTTCCAAAAAGTCTTTTTTCCAAAAAAAATTTTTTTTTTTAAATATTTAGTTTATATTTATTTAAAATATTTATTTGCTTATATTTTACATTAAATCATATTACGGATATTATTTTTATGTAAATTTTATCCTTTGCTCTTTTATTTATTTAAATTTATATTATTATTTATCAATATTACTTGATGTTAATAAATTAGCAGTTGTAATAATTATTGAAATTAAAAAAAAAAAAAAAATATTTAGTTTCTCAAAAATCTATTTTTTCAAGGTAATTTTTTTCAAAAATGTTAATTTTTGGTACGGGAAGCTCTAGCAATTTGCCTTAAGGCACCACTGGTTTGTTTTTTAGACTGTAATTGGCAGTCATATACTTTCTGGTTATTATGGAAAGCCTGATTTTTGTACAAATAATATTGTACGTTGTGATATCAGATTTGTAACAAATCATAAATTTTTCAAATAATTTTGGTTTCCAAATTCAAGTACTTTTAAAGTTTTCAAAACATCACTTAATACCTTTTACAGATTCATCTTCCTTCCTATAAAATTTTTATAAATATCTTTTATACTTCTATGCAGATATCCTTTCATGGATAGAAAATCTATTTATTTCCAGATTTTGCTTCCTATATACGAACAGAAATAACGTAACAAGATTTGTTGAATAGATATCTTATTTTTCCTTGTTGTGTGAAGAAGCGCGCTTCAATGTAATGTGGAGATCTATAGATTTTTCAAGTATACGAAGTTGCTACTTGGTGTATTATAAGAAGAGAAAATACAACCTGAGAGGTAACATGATCTGGGATAGGAGAGAGATGACCAGTCGAAGCTGGGAAAAATAATAATATTATGTCCTTCGTTATTTAGTGATAGCGATGATGTTTACTTTAAAGATATATGTTAGGTACTTTAAAAACATACCTACAACCTAAGTTAAATGTTTTTTTAATTTTATTTTGAACAGTACCAATCTTAGGGTTCTAAGAGCAGTTGTTTTACAATTGTTATAGCCTAGCGACTTTAGAAGGTAATCCAGTGGATGCCCAGTGGTTTTTCATTCTCTTTTTGATAACATTACGAATATTTTTAGATATAAAATCCAAATGTAATACAAAACAAAATTTTTTTTTTAAAAACCCATTTCTTTATTTATTTATTGTCGACGTTTCGGAATGTACCATCTTCAGGATATCTGGTAAGAAGCATGATCTTGATAAGACCTAAACAAACAAGATATTTAGGAAAAGTAGAAAGTATTGGATTTTTTATAAAAAACGAAAAAAATTGTGGAAGAATAACCAATTTTTTGTCAACAACATTGAGCAATTTTATTCAAAAAAAAGTTTATTTAAAAATATACACACAATATTCATAACACTTTTTCATCAAATAATCTCCATGCTCAAGTTGACCTTTTTATTTTTTCTCAAATATCTTTCATTATTTTATCTTACTCTATGTAATTAAATAATGTTGTTATATTCTGTATTATGCAATTTTGTGTTATAAAGTGCATTATTATACTATATATTATAATTTATTGATATTATATGTATACTAAATGTATTTTTAGGTCCTCTTGGAAGTATTCTGTGGGCTATATGCTTAAAATAAATGAATAAAAATAAATATTACATCAAGCAGATTAAATAAATTCCCATAGACGTATTGGGTGTTGTTTTATATAACTTTTCAAAGGTCTTCTTATTTCATAGGAGAAAAACTGGGAATAGCTTTATATTATCTTAACATATGATTATAATCTTATCCTAAACAATCGCTATTTCAGCATCTCTACAAAAGAGAGACCCATATGAATACATAAAAGCGTTGTTATCTCAGAGAACATAAGTTTAGAGCTGTCCTGACGGAAACTTTAGTCCGGAAGCCGGAAGGAAATACAAGGAAGGTAAAAAGATTTAGAAACACATTCTTATAGAGGTCACGTCTTCTATTTGTATTTTGAACTTGTTAGTAAGTATAGCTTTGGTTACAATAACTTCAAAGATAATAGTTAATAGATTAAAAAAAAAACGGTTTAAAAAACATTTGATTCGTATTGATGTGTGGACGTACTGATTAGTTTTTGGTATAGGCAGGTCCAGCCGTTTCGACGATACAGAGCAAAAAGTGCACAAATTCCGATTAGAACCTAACCATCCACTCATAGCGTTGTGCGTGAGCATGTCGTTATAGCTGAGTTGGTTGGCGCGTCACAGTGATTTTCATTTGCTTTAGTAGATAAGAAAGTCAAGATTTATCAGGTTTTATTTACATATATTTCATTTAAACACATAGAAATAACGTCGTCTAATTTAATAAGTTTTCACATTTTGTCTACAAGAAACCAATAATGAAAATTCTAGTTTATATAATATTTATTCATAGACATTTTTGTTACTGATTATTTTTATTCTTCGAATTTTCAATTACGGTACGGGAAGTTCCAGAAATTTGTCTTAAGGCACGATTTTAATTGTTTTCCTCATCCGTTTCCCCGGAGAGCCATACTTTCACCTAATATGTGTACATGGTAACGCGAAGCCCCGTACATGAGATTCTAGATTTGAAATTCAATTCCCCTTCCGACGCATTTGTGTCTGGTTTGCCAACAAAATATCCAGGATTAGCTGCTCAGGAACTAGGAAACTAGACGTAAGCTTAAGACTTTGCTTCAAATTGATAAAGTTAGAAAATAGGAACAATAATTTTTGCAGACCGCTGGTAAAATCCTTAGCTTAAAATTAAATTTTGTTCCAGATATCTGGTTCTCTAACAACATACTCAGAATTAGCAGCTTCAAAACCAGGATTCAAAATGATAGACTTGAGAATATAAACTATAATTTATGCTAGATTTTTCATTTAAAATTAAATTCAGCTTCCAAAGTTTGGTCCACTTACAAAATATCCAGGACTAGTAGTAGCTCAGAAACAACTAAACAAGACATTAGGTTTTTGCTTCAATTTTGCTAACAAAATATCCATGATTAACAGCTCAGTAAAAACTATGAGTTTGGGATTTTAAATTGATGAAATTAAAAAATAAGAATTACATTTTTTAGGAAGGATTTACATTTAATTTCAATTCCAACGTCTGGCTCGCCATCAAAACTGACAGTTTGTTACCAGCTGAGACAGAACGAGAATAAGTTTTTAAGCTTCAAATTGATCGTGTTAGAAACGAATAATTTTTGAACGAATGATTTTTGGAAACCATCAAACTTTTGTATTTGAAATTTAGTTTCACTTCAAAAGTTTAGTTTTGCTGTCCAGGATTAGCGATTCAGAAAAACCAGGAAAATCTTGCAAGAAAAGATTGAAGAACTTAAATTAAAATTTTTGAAGATCACAAATCTTCAAATTCCATAATATTATTTTCAATTTTCTTTTACGACGAATTAATAACTATTTGAGTCTAGTTTTTCAACGAAGTATTAGAGAAAAATAGAAAAAACCTAAATGAAACAATATAAAACATAATTTTTAGTTTTTCTTGGAAAATAACTATATTATTAAATAATCTACTAAATTCTAGATCTGAAAAACTATTATCCTTCTAACACATTTAGGACTTGTTAGTAAAAAATTCTATACGAGGAATACTGTTCAAGGACTTTTCCTAAATTTAATAAAATTGCAAAGTAAAATCTGAACTTTTAAGGCTTATCTTCAAATTGATGGGGTTAGAAACAAAACAAAAGTTTTTTGGAAACCCTTAGATTTGAAATTTAGTTTCACTTCAGAAAGTTATTTTTCCAAAAACGATTAAGGATCAGCAATTCAGACCAACCAGGAAAACAATGCAAGATTATAGAAAAAATAAATTAAAATTGTTGAAGACCATACGTTGAGATCCATAATTTTAATTTAAATTTTCTTTCTTTCACGTATTTGTGTCTGGTTTTTCAATAAAGTATTAGGAAAAATTAAAACATAATTTAATATATAATACATAAAATATAAAACATAATTTTTAGCTTTTCTTGGAAAATAACTAAATTATTAGAAAATTTACTGAATTCTAGATCTGAAAAACTATATCATTCTAAACTATTTATGAATTATTATTAAAAAACTATTTAAGGAAGGAAAAACTATCCTAAGAAAGAAAGACTATTCAAGAACTTTTCCTAAAACTAATAAAATTCGAAAATTTAATCTAAACTTTTATTAATTTTTGATATTATTATCCAATTGTAATCAATTCATGTCTACCTTTTCAAAAAAGCAGTTCAGAAGAAATGAAAATAAAAATCCAGAATATCAGTTGAATTTTATTTGGACTACACACATACACACATATACTTATATATATTTATATATATATATATATATATATTTATATATATATATATCCATGTGGGCATATGTCTACACTATATCCTCGTAGAATACCTGCCACCAGGTAGATTTTTAATTACAAAACCGAGACGTCTAGTATTTCACGTAGAACGGTTGAAAAACTATTTTCTCTCTTTGCAAAAATTCTCTCACGTCTCTACCCTTAATCCTCTGCACAAAAAACCTTTAAACCGACCCATATCAGAGCAAAACCATACATAACGTAATCTTATTTACATTTGTACGTGCTATAGATCCGAGAAAGGATTTTACGAAATTTGGGACAATAAAATATATCATGAATCAATAAAGGGAAATCTTTATGGATAAGTAGACGTTTGGGAATAGTAAGTAGGTGCATATATACATTTCAATAGAAAATATTATAGAAATATATGTTCTATATTGGAGCCATGAGAACAAGCAGTTCTTATGTACATTTATTTATTAATAATATTTTTTCTTACCATTTAGTCTAACATTTGCTGGAGAACTGACGACAACTTGTCTGCTTAGACGATGCATCGTCCTGCATCTATAAGTTGGAAATTGGTCACTGAATTCCAGGTTGTGTATTAACAGTTCACCAGTTGGTAGAAGGTGAAATTTTCCATCTAAAAAATAAAACATTAAAAATTTCTCATTTTTGCAGATTTCTCACTGTACAAGATGCCATTTAAGTAAAAATAAATACATCATATAACAATTTTGAATAATGTTTACTAGTTATATGGTAACACTCCTGATGCAAACATTTATCAGTGTCAACCATTACACATTTATATAATGATAAATTATAAATTATATATTTATAATAGCATTAAAAATATGTATAATATTTAAAAACAATAATGTGATTAAAGTCAAAAAAAGTTCAAAAATAACGTGATCAGTTTGTCATTGTAATAAGCATTTAGAAATGAACCTTCATTAGAGAAATGAAGAGAAGCTGATTAATAAATTCTATAATATTTTATCACATAGTGGATTATGTTAAACAACGCCTAAACAAATATTGTTTGCGCAACTTCACTCATCATATAATCGTGTTTGAAGAACTTCATGCAATTAAAATTAACATACATTCATTGACTGCTTGTATTTTTTTACTTTTTCGCTGGCGATATAATGTTATTCGTTGAATAGCTGTAATATCTGTCTTGCTGCTGTAAAATATTTTCCATTTATATAACTAATAAATTCAAAGATTTATAGAAGCTACGAAAAATATAGAAATAATTTCTAATCAATAAACTTACGTTTAGTACACGGCACAAATGTTTAATTTGTTTTATTATTTTCAAGGAACAGGGTAAAATATTCTTCTGATTCAGGCATTTTTCATTAAATCAATATTTGTACTATGATGTAACTTCCAAATGTTATTTATCCATGCCGATTTCCTTATTGACATCGATACTCATACAACGTTGATGCCGTTACGCATATCTCTATTCACATACACGACGACTAATCACAATCGACCCGTATAGAAATGATCTTATCGAGAGCAAATGACGAACAGTTTAGACGTAACGGATTTCCGTTGCATTTGTACGGATTTACATCCTAGTTGCGCCTAAAGAAGTTTTTCTTCAAAAACAAATATGTTTTGTGGATTGAAGACATAATCTTACATCTCAATAAAATAGATTGAAATAAAAAAGTATATTTTCAAATAAAGTTCTTTCTAAACATGGTAATTTTGAATACGTCAAGAAAAATGCCAGTCTCTGTATTTCTACATCTGTTTCCCTCTGTTTTTACCATTCGAAAAGAATCTAAATTAAAAAATCTCTTTATAATCTTGTCCATTCTCCACATCAATGGTTTTTGAATCCTCTATGAGCAAACCGGAGTCTGTTTACTTGCATAATAACTCTTTTATTCTCAGATGTAGAATCCGCATTTTATTTTGTAAAGAAATGTAACATTACATACAAACGGTTATCATTGTGACTGCGAATTCGTGAGTTGTTTACAAGCAAAGCATGTACCTTTCAAAGGATAAAAATCTCAGAGGAAAATGTTATTGTCGAGCTGAATAGACAGATGTTTATAAGAATTAGGTATTTATAAAGAAATGAGTTCCTGGAAATTCAAATAGAGCAACAAATGGTAAAGCAGGGTAAGGAAAATCTGATGGTCACCAGTAATGGACTTGTCAGAGGTCAGAGTACCAGAATTACTTACTGTGATCTCTCACACCAGACACAATATTTATTTAAAAATAGGTCATTTATCTTAAAGTACATATAATGCAATACACCACTAGTTATTTCACGTTCAAGAAAATCCTTATTCTTTCCAAACCGAAAATTCTGTCAGCAAGGTACAAGCGAAAAGTCACATCTCAATGAACTTGTACAAGAAGAACGATGACATTGCTGGTGTATTATACGTCACTCGTATATCTGCCATGTTACATCTATATATATTTTCAGGACAGGGATTGGCAACCTAAGGGATGGATTTATCCTCTCAGATACATACATGCTGTTTTTGATAGTTGTCTTTTGATCGTCTGGAATTAACTCCAAATTTAACCAGTAAAAAGATGAAAAACCAAACTGACCAAATTTAGTTATTTTATATAAATCGAATCCAATATACAGAATTTGGGATAATGTGTCTTGACCTTCCTAACACTAAAGTGCCCAATGCTCAATGTTGAAATTTTATTTAACCAGGACAAAAATTGGAAACTTGAAAAATGAGTTTATTCTTTTCAGATCAGTCGTTGTTCTATTGTATAATGGATCCTTAAAGTAGAATGTCTCTAGAGGATTGATGATTGCATTTCAATATATATATATAACCAGGACAAGGGTTGAGAGCCTATAACATGATTTTTTTTTCAGAAAATTTTTTGTTTTATTAAATATTTGTTTCTAGATCAAAGATTAAATATTGCCAGGATTGATTACCTCAAAAGTAGCTATATTCAAATCGATTGTATCAAAAATATAAGTTGAATGAAAATTAAATACATAACCAATTATTAGAAGAGAAGAATTCCATATACAAGTAGTACTTTAAGTATAAATTCTATTAATATTGCAATCATATTAATTAGTTTTTTTTATCAAATTTATAAAATTATCTATTCTCTAATTTATATATCCTATGAATTATAAAATTGTTATTAAATTAATTTAATTATTATCTTATAACAATTTTCTTCCAACGATTGGGATTGAAAAATAGTTTTCTGACAATGCAACCCTTTGTTTAATGTTTTTTATCCCTGCATGGGACAGGAAAAAGCATCAGCATCAGAATGACATTACAGATTCTCTGCAAACGTATCTCGTTCACAAAATAAAAATAACCATCTTAAATAATATCAGACATAGAGCATTCTTTAGAATATTTCCAAACAAGGCTTATTTCGTGAACATGGTCAGGAAAACTTCCACTTATAAAAGATTCATATGAGAAGGAATTTTTAGGTATTTGATATATATATATATATATATATATATAGGGTATTTCAGAACTCAACGTCAAGCCGGAACGGGGGTTTGTATAGATCGCAACTATCATTAAAAAAATTATAAAATAAATTTATTTCACGTAGTTCTAAAATTATAAGCTTTTAAGTGCAGCCTAGAATTTTGGCAAAATCGTGATAATTTGTTGGTTATTGTGGTTAATTTTTAATAATTTTGTTTGTTCAAACTAGGAATTTGTAACCGTAAATAATATTTCTTTAACCAATGTATATAATGTACCAATGCATATAATGTACCAATGAATCTATGTTTAATTTTACAATTATATAAAATAACTAGTGGTGCATGGCATCGTGCCTTGAAACAAACAACCACAACTTTTCGAAATTTAAATTTTTTGAAAGCTCAAGAAATAATGTTCAAACTTTTTTGAAAATTTTGATTTTTTTAACATTTTTGAAAATTTTAAAAATATGAATTTTGACAAAATTGCCTTTTTGGAAAATTTTGAAATTTCTTGAAAGTTTAAGCCGATTGATCCAAAATATCGAAAATATTTGATTTCCCACCGTCACATGTCATTTTTTCAAACTTGTTTTCCTGGATCTCCGGGACCGCTAAACCTATCTTTGCAACAATTTAATCGATTCTTTGTTAAGTCAATACAAGTGCAATATTTTTTGTATCACTCAAATCAGATGATCCACTCTCTAAAAACATAATTGCCATTTTCTGCACGCTTTGGCCCTCCAAAACGACTGAACCAAATTTGTCAGAAAACTAATCAGAATAACCAATTTTTGCCAAAAACTAATCAGAAACTCCCAATCAATAGAAATCGAATGTCTTTTGAATATTTCAAATCGGTTCAGCGGTGTACCCATACATAGATACCACATACGCACATCGATTTTTTTTAAGATATGATAAAATGATCAGAAACCGCTGAAACGTGAAGTATAAAATTTCGATTGTTTAACGATTACTATAACTTATTCTACGGGAAGTTAATAATTAAAAATAGTTAAAAATTGAAAATAATTCTCAATAATGGCTCAAATTGAAGAAAATAATCAACTGAGTATAAATCAACAAACATTGAAACATAAAATAGATAGTGATAAAAATGGTTCCAATTATTATTTTTTATATACATTAATCAATATAGCTTTTATCAATTTATTTTCGAAGACAGTGCTTCCAGATGTGGTTCATATTTTCAATGATTCACGAACTATTGGCACTTGGCAATGAACCCCAACCAACGCATTCTTCGTGTTGAAATTATTTTCAGTGTAGCAACATTTTAGTAAAATTTTCGACCGTGTGTTAGTGTCAAACTCATTTAGTTGGCATATATTCCATTAATGGAATAATGCGTCCGCCGCTCATATACGAGTACGTTCTCGTGTAATGAATTCTGTCACGTCGACTCGACTGGGGAACGACGGGAACGACGACGCTGTTTGTACGTCGTCAGGCTTTTGTATAAAACTAACGCGGATTCCGAAATTTCATTTCGTTTCATTATTCACTCATTACAAAGTTCAAATGCAATCTGTACAATTATATAAATACAGGGTCACCCAGAACTCAGTGTCAAACCGAAACAGGGTGATTGTATTGACATAATTATCAGGTAGTTTGAAAATTATTAGCTTTTCAGTGAGCTTAAAGAGCTTTAGTTAATTTTGTTCATTTAAGTTTTCGATTTCTAATCGTAAATAACATTTCTAAGACCACAGTAGAAACTAATAAAACAACTGAGTGTATGTGTGTATGTGTACGTATGTATGTTTGGATACAAATTTTCTTAAACACGGATCAACCTATTTGTATATTTTAAAAAATATTTGATTCCTATTGATAAGGAGACGTGATTATTAGTTTTTGGCGAAGGCAGGTCCATCCATTTCGAAGATACGAGGAAAAAGTGCCAAAATCGATAATTCAGTTCTTGAGGGAACGGGGTGTCCAATTTAATTGATCAAAAAACAGTTAACTTGTATTGAGGCAAAGAATAACTGATTAAATTTAAAATAAATTAAAGAGAAGTTTAAAAAAAATGATATTTGGCGGTAAAAAATGATCATTTAACATTTTTTTTTCAAATTTTCAAAAATGTACAAAGTTTTATATACTTCGAATATAAATTTTAA